GACCTTATGGAGTTGACGATCTCTTGGATCGTTAAGGGGTGTAACCTTCATCCTCGTGAACGGTTTACAAGTTCCTACAAAAACTTGTTGGCGACTCTTTTGCTCTATCTTCTTCCCTTTTGGACGCCACCGTACTTTAGTGTATGATCACAGTGGGGTTCAAGCTAGTGGGATTTTAAAGGCTTGAAATTATTCCCTACACGTACTAAGTCAGTTCTGATTAATTTATTAAACTTTAATTACTCAAATTAATTAATTAATTAGGCGGAGTCCTTTTAGTCATTACAGTTTACTTAGGCTTAAGTCAGATAAACGGTTATGAAAAACACATAGAGTATGCACAACAAATAATGCACAAATAGTCAAGTAGGCACAATATGATGCAATGAGTTTGCAACCTAACCCTGGCTCTAGTTCTCTAAAGTTCGGGATATGGGTTAGTCAAAAAGGGTCCATGGTTATGATTCCGGATGCACTGCGCGGAATCCTTACCTTTGGAAGGGTTGGCGTGTGTGGATGGGACCTCGCGAGTTAAACTCGTTTCCATGGTTTGGTGAATTCAACATTCTCAGATGTACCCTTTGGTTCTCAAAGCGTTTAATCAGATAGATGGATTATGAATTCCTAGAGGGTTATGCCTTATGTAGAACACATATGGGTTTCAGTAAAGTGAGAAAAACTCGATCAGGAAGTAGAATCGAGCCAACAGTGCTAGAACTAGGCAAAATAAGAAGGCAGATTTCTCGCTCGGTATTGGAAGAACGCAGCGCCATCCAACAGAGTCTGTCGTCGGGATATGAGCCCTGTCGCTTGGTGACAGAATTGTCACTCGGCGACAGAGCCATATCTTCGGCGACAAGCTCTGTCTTCTAGACGCCAGTTCCTACATGCCTCAGCAGCTGACTTTGTTTTTAGAATTTTCCAGTTTTTAGCAGCATTATTTCGATTCTAGTTGTGAAAGATATCCCTCAAATTTCTTACGTGTAAAAATCCTATGTTTTTTACTCATTACGGATGGTTTTCCAATGAGAACCTTTTTTTATGCATATGACAATAATGTTAATCAAAATTACGCACATGAAATACTTAGACTTTTCGAGTCTCATCCACTAATTCTAAATCATTGCCGAAATAAATTTCAGGAATTAAAATAGAAATCCTCCTCAATGAAGTCGCCAAAAACTGTAGGGAATATTTCAAGCATTACCCCAAACTTTAACCCCATTGTGATCATGCAATTAATCATGGTGGCGTCTAAAGGGAAGGAAGCTAAAACAAAAGAGTCGCCAACAAGTTTTAGGAACTTGTAAACCGTTCACAGGGTGAAGGTTACACCCCTTAACAATCCAAGAGATTGTTAACTCCAATAGGTCTGGAACCAAGATTGGAAGTTCGGGGATAAAGGTACAAATTCAATCTAAAAGAGAAAGAACCTGCCCTAATAATAGGCCTCTACTTTATTCTTCTCGTATTCATGTGCGTTTTCTAACTAACATGCAATCAATAGGATTAACCCTAAACTTGTTTAATCTATGTTGGTTGAATATTAATGCGTAAATAAATCTATTATTGACGACCACTAGAACTATAATCAAATTAACCCTATTAATTATCTTATTAAGCGTGATTACAAGTACAAAATCCCTTTAAACATGCATAAAAGATCTGATCAAGCAACAACAATAAATATATATCAAGCAACATGATAATCATCATAAATTATAACAATAACAATTATTATAACAATAACTATAATCATGTTAAAGCATAATAATAGCAAGATCCTAGGCATGATACTAACAAGATTAATAACAAACTCTAGCATGTCACTAAGCAATAAAAATAAAAATTTTAGCCCTAACATGATACTAACATGATATTAGGAAAGAAAATAGGAAGCATCATAGAAATCATATCATAATTGATATAATTAAGAAACTTATTTTTACCCTAAACATCATACTAAGAAAAGCATCCTAACATGATGCTAGGAATTAAAATAACAACCTAATCATGATTACTACATCATAATATCAATAAAACAAATAAAGCACTTACTGGGATGCCTTGTATCTCTTTCTAATAACAAAATACACACGTTAGTAACTTCAAGGAAAATAATAAAATCAAAACAATTAAATTAAATAATTAAAATAGAGATTTGGGACCAAAGCCTCAGAAATCAAACCTTTCACGTCTAGGGCGAAGGCAAGTTCGAATTATGCTAGGTTTAGAATAAGATAGAGAGAGAATATCAAGAATTTCTTGATAAGAGTTGAAGATTAAAAACGGAGGTCTAATGACGCTATTTATGATGAAAATAGTCCGGATTTGATAAAAAAGAATTAGAGTTTGCAAAGAGGAATAAAACACGCCTATGTCGCCGCAACTGTCGCCGCGCGACAGCCTGGCGTTCGGCGCTGCAGGGGATTTTCCCACACGTTTTCTACTTTTTTGATAAAATTAAGTCGTATAAGTCCGTACGAGGGGTAAAATTGTAATTTCATTTAAAACATTTCTTTTATTCCAAATAAAACTCATAAAACTTAATTATCAATCCTAATCCCATTAGGATTCAAAAGAACCTTCTAGAAGATTCTAGAAGACTATAATCAATCCTAATTGCATTAGGAACGATAATTCATAATAGGCTTTCCTCTAGATCATTGGGCCGCATATAAAGATCAAACCGGACACAGTTTAATAATTTGGCCATAACTTCCTCATTATTCATCGGAATTGGGCTTATAACATATCGTTGGAAAGCTCTTTTCGAGCTCAATCCAACTACACTATTATTGAACCCTTATCATGGACCAAAATAAACAAGGTTTCCTATTTTCATAAAATAGGTTTTCGAAAACAAAGATAAAAAAGAGAATTTTAATAAAAACTAACTGCAACACTAGACTTTCCACACTTTCACTTCATTCGATTATGATTCGACGTGAAAGGTATTTATCACCGGGTTTGGTTTTGGGGAGACACAAATGGGTGTCTACAACATCCAAGAGCCAAAGTCTTTAACTTTCACAGGCTTATGATTTTGCATATGTAGAGGATTATCATGCACAATCATCTCATTGGACCGTCCCTCAATAGCAGCAGGTTGACATTCATCCTTGATATGGCCTAGTTTACCAAATTTGAAACAAGCCATCTTAATTCTTCATACTGTATGCGCCAAATCTTACCCTTAAGCCAAAATTTAGAAAATAGTTGTTTTGAAAGATCAATCTCAACACTAAGCCTTGTAAATTGACCTCTTTCCACTTGAGCAGTAGTCTTATCAACATGTAACACTTTGCCAATTCTTGACCCAATTTTTGTAAGAAAATTAATGTCAAAATACTCATTTGGGTGTACAAACCGAAGCTGTGAGTAACTTTATTGGAGATTCATTAGGCACAAAGTTAGGTACCCATTTCCGAATAGTTAAGTAGTTGTCATCAATCACCCAAGGGCCTTGCGTGAGAACATAATTATAATCAGCTTGATTGGTAAAACTGTGCAATGTAGAAGCTACACCCAATGTCAATCAGAGACAATTCACCTCTAATATTCCATTTCTTCTTGAGTCTCCTCATCGGTCCCATATAACCAAGTCTTTCACTGAAGAGCTTGATAATCAGGGAATGAATACATGGTTGTTGAAGCCTCTTTTTTTCCTCTTTTGAAAGTTGTACACAAGGAATTGAGAGATTAAATTTGATTATTGAGGCTTGTACAAGAAATATGTCATAGTCATTCACGCATAGTGGCATAGGATTGCATATACAAGAATACGGAAAAACTACAAAATAAAATTAAGGTTAATAAAAAAGTTAGGGTTTAATGAATATATACATATGTGTAGGTGCTTAATTACAAAAAAAAAAAAAAAAAAAAAAAAAAAAAAAAAAAAGAAGGAGTTATCATACTAATAAAATATGTTTAAATATATGAAAATTGTAAAATAATATTTTAATAAATAATAAGTTTAATAGGTATTAATAACACAAAGAACGAACGAATAATGAGCTACAAAGAATGAACAGTTCACCTCATATAATAACATTTCAATTAAAGAATGAGCAACATAGTTGCATGAATCTACAACTAATTAGCGCTTTGTTTGCATAGCAAGTAAGGAAGGAGGGGGAAATTGGAGGAAGGGAAGGGGAAAGAAAGGGAGGGGAAGGTGAAATCTATTTTCCCTCCAAATCTCTCCAATTTTGGAGGGATTATGCTTATTAAGAGGAGGCATGATGGACCACTAACAAGTATGGACTCTCATGCCCAATACCTAGGGGTAAAATCGTCATTTGACATACATTAGGACAGTAATCATTAAAAGTACCAAATGAGCAAGCTATAAATACTCCCTCCATTTTTAAATACTTGCTCCACTTTCCTTTTTCGTCTGTTTTTAAATACTTGCTCAATTTCCTTATTTGGAAAGCTTTTACAATATTTAATTTATTTTTCTCACCTAGTTGGCCCAACATAAATCATATTTTATTAATTTCATACTCTCTCTCCTCCAATTCTCTCCACTACTTTTACATTTACTCCCTCCGTTTCATAATGTTAGTCTCATACACTATTTTGGGCGTTTCAAAAAGATCTATCCATATTGAATATATTTCATTTATAACTTGATTTTTTTTTAATTAATTGATTGTGTATTGATGACATGACTCTAAGTTAGGAAATTTTTACCTTCAATTATGCAATTATTACTTATAATTTCCTAATAAAAAATCAAAAAAATTAAATAAGGTAAACTAATTATGAAATCTGTTGTACTTTAATGTTAGATTCCAAATATATTTGTTTTCTTATTTTATGTGATTGATTCCATATGGGACTAACATAATAAAACGGAGGGAGTACAATTTTTTATTCTTCCACCTATCCACTACCTCCATATTTTATTATTTTCTCTAATTTCTTCCAAAACTCCGCGCACGGAGAAATAGAGCAAGTATTTAAATACGGAGGGAGTATTTAGTTTCTCTCTCTTCCAAAACGCTCTCCATTTCGAAACAAATTGTGAGTGGTAACGCTGCTCAAAAACCCGGTGAAGCTACCAAATTGTGAATTTGTGAGTGGTAACTCAAACTTTGCTAATGTCAGGTAATGATACTTTACGAAATCAGTGTATTTAATTTTGGGATATTGAGAGGGTATACAATCTAGAGTTTTCAATTTAGGGATTTCAAAAGTAAATTCAACTTATGGTTTTCAATCTAGGGATTTTGATATAGTGTGTAGAAAGGGTTTTAATTTTACGGATTATGGATAACATTTAAGTATTAACTGTTTTTGAAAATTTAAGTATTAAGGGTTTTGCAATTTTGCTTTAATAAGGTCCCGGTCGAGGTGGAGGAAGAAGAGGTGGAAGGGCGCCGAGTCGAGGCTGCTGAGGTGGTCGAGGTTGCCGAGAAAAAGGTTTTTCTTGATCTTTGAATGAATTGACTTTTTTTTGTATGAAATATTGTTTATGAAATTAATCTTTGCTGAAATTAAAGAATATGATAAAGATAATGATGTTGAATTTTGTTAGTGGATTTGTCAAACTTTTCTTTTTAAACATAATCAATTGTAGACCCTGTGAATTATAAGGTTTTAATTCCAAGCTACCAATGTTTGTTGCTAGAATTTATTGAAGACATAAATTTCAATTTTTGATTCCGAATATAGATATTTATTGAAGAGTATACTCTGATATTTCCTAAAAAAAACACTATGATATACAAGTATTACTTAAATTTCTTTATGTGCTTGAATGCTGCTGGGTTATGGTTAGTATAAAAAGCTTGTTCATGGGTCTGGTGGAGTGGAGGACCCAGTGTGTGTAGCGACTGGCTTTGTCAAGTTGTGCACTGATTATGTGTGATCAACATTAACCTGCCATTGCAGTTAAGGTTAATGTTGATGCTCATATTTTGGAAGGGGTGAGTGCTAGTTATGGTGTGGTTGTTAGAGATGTTACTGGTGGTATTCTTCTTGCTGCTATCAAGAGCATTGATTTGAAGTGGACTCCCGAAATGGCGAGTCAGGTGCAGTGGCTTATGGTGTGCAATTGGCGATAGCAACGTGATACTCGAAAGGGATGCTTTGAGTGTTGTGAATGCGATCAAAGGCAAACACCAAAGTGCTGCTCCCATCTATTTGTTCTACGAGGATGTGATTAAGGCTACTACTAGTTTTACTTCTTTTATTTGTATGCATGTTATGCAAAGCGGGAATGTACTTGCTCATAGTGTTGCTCGTTGGCCTGGGATACTTCTAACTCTTAAGAGCAATTTTGTATGTCTTCTTTTCCATAAAGTTTAATAAATTTGGCGGAAATTGATTTATGCTAATAAATTCATTGCTTGCTTGCTTAAAAAAAATCAACTCTTTATATGCTGATATAATAATTATGTGCATATTTTGATTAATCTGTTGTATTTGAATACTTTGTGTAGGTGGAAGGCATTCGATTTTGTTTCACTTAAAATAATTGAGTGAATTACCCACTTTCCTCAATTGCTAGAAACCTTGAATTAAACATAAGTCTTTCATATTGATCCAAATAGAAGGATATTTTGATTCAGATTCTTGGTATGGATTAATTTGATTGGCTATGTAGCACATTGTATTAGTTGGTAGTTATAAAAAAAAAAAAATTTCTTTTAATTTCTTGGATTGCTTATGCAATTCTATGATGAATTGTAAATGATCTTGATCCTAATTGTTGATGTTTAAGGACAAGTTGGATGTCGCGGAAGAAAGGAGCTGCCGCTGGCACATATTGTGGCTTGATTGTAATCCTATTTATAAAAGCATTGTAATTTTTTTTATTTTTTTAGGAATGATATCGTAAAATTACAACTATTTATTAATAATAATCCATTTTTTATAAGGATCTTGCTAGCATACGCTCTGGATCGTTAGATAACAATCGAATATACTTCCTAACATGGTATTAATTTGGAAATGCATGTCGAAATTACGATTCAATCGGTGAAATTAATGTTTATTTCAAGTTAATAGTTCTACTTTAAGGATTTGTTATGTTCACCTAATTTTCACTTTATTTAAGGCTTTATAAGTTCAGATAAGGAACAATAAGTTTTAGTAAGGGTTATCCAAGTTAAAATTACAACTAAAATAAGTTTTAATAAGGATCTTTTACCAAAATGACTAGTTTTACAAAAGTATTTACCAAAACGACTAATTATAAAATTTAATTCCCAAACTAGCTAAATAGGTTTGGTATTCCTGTAGACACCCAAATGTGTCTCCCCAAAACCAAACCTGTGATGAATACCTTTCACGTCGAATCATAATCGAATAAAGTGAAAGTGTGGAAAGTCTAGTGTTGCGGTTAGTTTTTATTAAAAATCTTTCTTTCTGTTTTCGAAAACCTATTTTACTTTATGAAAAACGTGCATTATAGTTTAGTTTGGTCCATGATAAGGGTCCAATAATAGTATAGTTGGATAGGGTTTGAAAAGAGCTTTTCAACGATATATTATAAGCTCAATTCCGATTAATAATGAGGAAGTTATGGCCAAAATACTAAACTGAGCCCAGTTGGGTTCTTACATACGGCCCAATCTAGGGGAGGGCCTATTATTAATTATCATTCCTAAAGCTATTAGGATTGATTATAGTCTTCTAGAATACTCTAGAAGGTTATTTTGAATCCTACTGGAGTTAGGATTGATAATTATGTTTCAAAGAGTTTGAAATTGAATAAAACTACTTTTTAAGAATCCTTGTTTTGTACGAAGTGGAACATATTTAGATATTATTTCCGTGCCTCATAATCTTTATCCAAATCTTATATGGTTGGATAGATCTTGAAATTATATTTCCAATGATATATTATAATATTAATTCCGAGCTATAACGAAAAAGATATGAATGGGATATGAAACTCTATCCAAAAGTAACACCCTTCCACTATTTCGGCCATATCTTTTTATCTACAAAATATTTTTATCTGATTCTAATTGGGTTGGAAATTAGACTTCAAGAGATTTCCAAGGAAATATTATATGCCTTATTTGGACTTCTAGATCAAAAAATATGATAAAAACAAAATTCGCAAAAACTGTCCTGCAGCACCGGACGACAAGAGCTTGTCGCGCGGCGACAACATCGTGTTTTGTTTTTTTTTCAAACTCCGATTCTTTTTTTTTTCATCAAATCCGGACTGTTTTATTATAAATAGCGTCATTAGACCTCCGTTTTTAATCATCAATTCTATATCTAATTATCACCAACTCTCATCAAGAATTTCTTGATTCTCTCTCCCTCTTTCTAGCCTAGCCCTTTTACAAACAAAATTCCGCATTCACAAGATCTAGACACACCTAGCATAATTCGAAGTTTCCTTCGCCCTACACGTGAAAGGTTTGATATTTCTGAGGGTCTGGTCCCAAATCTCTACTTTATATTTTCCTAGAAGTTACTAACGTGTGTATCAATATATTATACTAAAAGACAAACACATCAAAGTGAGGCTGACACATGTCACTCTATGATTTGCTTGTCTTATAATGGTAAAAAAAAAATAAGAAAAAAATAAAAAAAAGTTTAAAGAAACCTTAGAACAATAATTTTGGTTAAAATTTATTGGGAAATTCTCTTTGGTGAACTCCAACTTTTAAAATTCTAAGTGGTAAACATTCTTAAAATTTATTATCAATGGTAGACTTAAATTATTTCTTACCATAGAGAAGTGTTATTTTAATAAAAAAACCTTAACTATAGTTAGTTTTTATTAATAATTAAAAAAAAATACAAAAAAAAACCCTTCCCCCACCCAACCAGCAACCTCTCCCCCTGCCGGCGGCTAGGCCCCTGTCGGCAACGCCTGACCTCCCTCCCCCTACCGGCGCCACCCAGAACCCGACGCGACAACCCATCAGCGGGAGATGACATAGTAAAGTCGTATCCCCTAATCAAAAATAATTACCTAAATCACTAACTACAGTAGATAGGGAAGTAGGGTCGAACTCCACAGGGAAACAAGTCTTTTTAATTCTAATTAATTATTATAATCTAAATTATCTAAGTAACCAATATTTTTAGGTATGAATTCTATACCACGAAGAATAAGTTTAGGGAGAAAAGAATCAATAATAAGGAAACCTAGGGTCACAGGTTCACCAATAATTAATATTCCGAGATAGAACGAAGTAATTAATAATTAACAATGCACAGATAACATGATTAACAGGCTCTCGCAATTTATTAATCAACATAGATCTAACAGACTCTCGCAATTTACTAGACCTAAGTTCCTATTAAAATTAGCCTTTAATATTAAATCAACATCTGCTCGATTCATCAATTCAATATTGCTAAACATTCACAATCAAATTACATCTGCTCGATTCATAATCTAATTGCAAAGAATTAAAACAATTCAATAGGAAATTATCATGCAATATCAATAATCAACAATAACAACTATCCCTTCGTATTAATTATGGATCCCCATAAACCCTAGAATGGAACTACTCACTAATCATCATAACTAAGCTAATCAAGTAAATAATTAAAAGCATAATCAAGAAAACAATTAAAATAGCTGAAATTAAAAAGGGAAGAAATTGTACCAAAAATAAATCTGGAATTAAAGGAAGTATTAAGAACAAAAGTTTAGAGAGAATTTAAGAGAGAGAAAAATACTAAGTAGAGAGAGAAAATACTAAGTAGAGAGAGAAAGTCTAAGAAAAAAAAGTAACTAATAATTCCGTACAAATCGTATTTAAACCTCTCCTAAAAGCAAGAATTAGAACTAAACTAACCAGCTTCTAAGAAAACACACGCCCGATCGGGCCAAGGGCTGCCCGATCGGGCCAAGGGCTGCCCGATCGGGCCCGCCTTTTTACAACGCCCACTGCTGGCATGCCGCGCCCGATCGAGCCTACGCTCACCCGATCGGGCGCGCTTCTTCCTTAAGGGTGCCTTTGCGCGCAACCGCCCGATCGGGCCCGGTCTTCTTCTTCGAGGCTTGGACTTCGATTGGGCTAGATTTCTCGGCCCAATCCGAATTTCCTCTCGGGTCTCGAATACTTGGTCCAAATGCCTCGTGATCCCAATTACCGAGCCCTTAATCACCGGCTCTCACCGATCCTGGGCTCCAAAAGTGGTCGTGTCCTTCTAGCTTCCGTAGTCGATCCATAAAGCCCAGGAAAATGCTCCAAGAGTGCAATTTCCTGTAAAATACAACTAAAACTACAAAAACACTAGAACACACAAATTAGTAATAAAAGTGGCCCGAAAGAGCCAAAAACACTACTAATAACGACCAAGGGACGGGGATAAAACACTATATAAAATAGACATATCAAACTCCCCCAAGCCAAACCTTTGCTTGTCCCTAAGAAAAGAGCTCATCAATGAACATATAAAACATACTTCACCCCAATAAGCAAATCAAAAACCAACGATTCAAGGCAAATCTAGTGAACACGCTTCAACATCAATTAATCTTATTCATCTAATCACCCTTCCTCCCCAACAATTGTCAAGTAGAGCAAACCAGAAGAGCATATAGAATTCAAGACTAGTGCTCACACACTCAACTCTCATTTATGTGGCGAGTAAAGAATGTACTCGATCGCTCTCCAACCAACCCCTTTAATGTGAACAATGCCCTCCCAACTCACACTCTCGTGTGTATAAAAACATTGAACGCTCATCCTACTAGTCGACTCGAAATATGCCAAGTCATAACTTGCATTGATAAACAACACTTTCACATTTACATAACTTCTATGCACAAGGTCGGAAGGTCTTTTAAGCTTGTAATGTAAGGCTAGGGTAAAGGTAGGATAAATGTAGGATTATGTGAGAGAAAAGCTATGCTAAAGGGAGCCAAATCCTAATAAACCCATGATCAAAAATAATGATCATACACATCTCCAACATAACCAACTCCAAACAACAATCCACCAAATATACTCCAAACAATATAAACACTCCCAACACTTACAATTTCACTCATAAGAATATAATAATATGGAATAGAGTGAATTGAAACAAACTTTGAACCACTTATTCTTTTTCTTTCTTTTCTTTTGATTAACCTTCGCTTAGAACATTTGAACATCAAACATTTTTTCCTTTTTTTTTTCTTTCTTAGAAGTTCACTTTTTTTTCAAATTTCTCACTTTTTTTTTGAACTTCTTTTTTTTCATCACACTTTTATTTTTCTCAAAAATATACAAATTTTAAACTCAACAAAACAAAAATATGATCGAGAATGAATTACTTCTCAAAACCCACCCAAATTGTGCAAATAACGTGCACACTACAAACTCCCTCACCTCACTCACTAATAGCTCCCCCAAGCCAAGCTTGGGACTAGTAACCAATGGGGCTCATGTAGGCTTGTAATGTGGCTAAATAAACAATAAAAGGGAACAAGCAACAACATGGGTAACAAGAAGGGAACAAATGTATCTAAGACTCTGAAGGCTACCTAAAAGAATGAACGCCTTCGTCCTCCTCATGTGCATAATTAATAAGTCATGAAACACTACTCATAGTTGCAAATCAATACTCAAATTCATTGACATACCAGGAATTATGGAACTATCACACATTTCCTAACCAAATCAACTAGTCAAACACTATATTCACAAGTAGTTGGACGAAATTGACGTATGTTTAGGAATCCAAGCAATCAAACTTCAAATCATGACCAACAAATCCACAATATTCATCGTCAAATACCAAGAATCAAAACAATTTTTCTCAAGTACGGGGCACGGGGAAGCATGATTTACAATTCATTGGAACGTATTTTTGAATTTTTTTATTTTTCAATTTTTTTTGTATTTTTCATATATAAGAAAGCAATAAAAACTACACTAGGAAAGCAAATAAAA